CCTTACTCCCGACCTGCAGCCCCCCTGCTAGCCCAGCCCTGGGCTCCCCCCAGCTCTGCTGGTGTCTCTCACTCCTGAGCCGCTGCCCCACTATCCAGTCAGTGCGGCGATCACTGGCACATGTCTGAGACTCAACCACACATGCTCATATAAAGGGGCAGCTGCTGGGCACACAGGGCAGTGGAGTCACCTGTCACTCTCTCGGGCCAGGACATGCACAGGAAGGGGCGGGGCAGGGGGATCTGGCTCCGGAGGAGGGGAGGGCAGGGGGCAGCAGTTCCACAGTCACTCCCTGGAGCAGCCTCGGCCCCTGCCCAGGGCAGGTCCCTGACCGGGAAAGCCTGGTTGTGGGGCAGCAGGCATGGAGGGCAGAGCAGCCCTGGGCTCCTCCCCGGCCTGCCGGGCAGCTGAGTGCTGGCTGTGCCCCAGAACCAGGGACCCAAGGGTGGGGAGCCCAGAACCGACTCACCTCGGGGTGGATGCAGAGGTTCTTCCTGGAGCTCAGAGCCAGGCCGAGGAAGGGGAGCTTCTCCCCCGTCCGCTTCTCATAGAAATCCAGGAGCTTCCGTAGTTCCTCAATGACCTGCCGGAGCAGGGGCGGTGAGGAGCCCACCATGATCCCCCACATCCTCCCAAACACACCCTTCTCCCCACAGGGCAGCGAGGGGCCCTGCTGCGATCCCCCACCCCCTCTCTCTCCTCCTCCCAGGGCAGTGAGGGGCCCTGTCACCATCCCCCACACCCTCCCCCCCGCATTCCTCCCCCGGGGCAGCAAGGATCCCGTCACCATCCCACCCACACTCTCCCTCCCCCCACACGGGTAGTGAGGGGCTCCCCCATGATTCCCCCACCCCCCAACACGGGGCCACAAGGGGCCCCACCACATACAGGTCCATCCCCCCCCACACACTGGTCACCTTCTCAATCTCAGGCACGGTTCTGGAGCAGTAGATCAGTTTGGTCACCTCCAGCGGATGGGCCTGGGGAGAGAGGCCAGGCACCTGCATTACTGGATGGCATGGGGCTTCGCTGACCCCAGAGGCCACCAATGCCGAGCCTAGAGCAGCCAGGGCACCAAACTCCCAAGGCTGCTTTTCCCTCCCCACCACCGTCACAGCTACAGCCCTAGGGATGGGGGGATGGTGTGAGCACTCCCACCTGGCTATGGGAGCTGAGGGGCGTAGCCTGCCCAGAAGGGGCCCTGACCCCCAGCCCCAAGAGTCCCCAGATCAGGGCTCTGCCCGTGGAGCAAGCAGAGGCAGCTCCAGACCCACCCACGAGGCCTGCGGGATAGCGCCAGTGCTCGGCCAGCACCTGCCGCCCGACCACTCTGGCCTCGGGGGAAAGTGCCTCTCCCAATGGACCCCCTAGACACACACCTGGCAGCCCCGCCCCCAGCTCTTGCCTGGCACTCACCCGCTGGTAGGCCACAATGAGCGACAGGAGGGAAATAGTCTTCCCAGTCCCTGAGGGCATTTCCAGCACGCCATGGCCCTGGGAGAGAGGAACAGCCATCACACAGGCAGCCCCGAGGGGGTGGGCAGGGGGCTAGCAGGGAAGGCTGAGCCAGGGCCTACGGAGCCCCAATCCCTGCCTCTGCAGGGACCCAGAAGGGCCAGAGAAGAGAGAGGAGACGGCAAGAGTCCTGCGAGGAAAGGCCCTGGGAGCTGGAGTCACCAAGCCGGGGACAGAGGCGGGCCTAGGAGCGGCGGCTGCAGAAGGACCCCACTGGCTGGGCCAGGCCACACTGGTCCCTCCCTGCAGAGTGGCCTGGGCAGCGCAGGGGCAGTGTCACACTGGGGGCGGGGAGACAGGGATAGGACGTGTCACGGCCAATGATCCTTGCACCCACAATGAGATCTCAGGCTCCAGGGGCAGCAACAACCACCCATTCCATCCCTAAGGCTGTCCAGCCAGGGCACCTCTGGGGCACCTCTCCGTCTTCTGGAGCAGTGTGCCAACCTCGGGGGGGGGGGGGGGGGGCAGCTGTGCCAGCCCGGCAATCTGGCCTGGTGGCATGCAGCCCCCACAGCGTATCACTGCCCTCCAGCACACAGAGCTTCACCCTGCTAATTTCTGAGTGGGCACCATGTGTGACGTCCAGCCCAGGGTGCCCAAGCCGGGTGATGGGCTGCATGCCAGGAGTCCCACTTGGGCAGGGCTAAGGGGCTCCGAAGGCTACGTGGGTGAATACAAGCACTGGTATTTAGCCATGCACAGTGAGATGTGCCACCCCCCCCCCCCCCCGGTGCTCCCCACCACCACGCAGACCCCCACCCCTGGGAGGGACCTTGGCATCCAGCGTCCTCTTGAGCTCCAGCATATAGGAGTACTGCTCCGGGTAAATGTAGTCATAGGGGAAATACACCAGCAGCCCATCGATGTTCAGCCTGACAACGAGATCAAGTCATGGGGTCAGAGAGCCCAGCCGAACCGTAGCTATGGGGGCACCCTGGCACAGCGGGGCAGAGGAGGCTGCCCCAGCAATGGGCAAGCGAAGTCACTGTACAGTACGTCCGGGTTTCCGCACACACAGCGTCTTTTTTAAGCCTCCTTTCTCTGTCCAGCTCCCCT